TTTTTTTTTTTTTTTTTTGTTTTCCTTTTTGGCACTACAGATTGAACCCAGGGGCACTCTTAACACTGAGTTATATCACCAGCTCTTTTTATTTTTGATTTTGGGACAGAGTCTTGATAAGTTTCCAAGGCTGGCCTGGAATGTGTGATCCTCCTGCTTCAGCCTCCTGAGTAGCTGGGATTATAGGTGTGTGCCACTAACGCTGAAGAATCATGAATTAACTCAGAGCTTCTGAGAGATTCACAGAAACCTCTCAGTTGTAAAACCTCTGTGGTTGTATCAAAATTACACTTATTAGGATTTTGAAGAAAAGTGTTCCACTTTTTCAGGTCCCCATGATAAGAAAAAAAAAATCACTACTTAAAAGAAGACATGAATTGCTAAATTTGCTACCACTAACTTGATGACCATAGACAAGTCACTTAACCTCCTCATCTGTAAATTGAGAGTGATGCATCTGTATTTTGCAAGGTTATCATGAAGGTTAGAGATAAATAAATAAATCTAGTACTGTGCCAGGAATAACCTAGGAACCCAATTAAGAATAACTATTAATTTTAATTTTTATTTTTTTCTGAAGGGACAGGTCTTTCTGACCTGAGCTGGGTGGAGATGGAACCCAGGGCTACATACATGCTGTAACTCAACCCTATTAATGCTTTCTTTCTTTTTTTTTTTTTGGTCCTCTTTCAACATGCTAATAAGCTATCAGGAGCTTCTCACTGATAATCTTCAGGGATGGAAAATTCCATTTCCATGAAGAAGCTCATGCCATTTGGAGCAGCTTGAACAGTTGGGAAGATCTCTATAATGAGCTAACCTGGCCTCACTGCAGATGCTGCCCCACTGATCTCTGATCATTTCTCTTCTGCAGCCACAGAAAAGGCTTATCATTTTCCCAGAGAAAAATGCTTTAGACACCTCAGTGCACATTTTTAAGAGGGGAGAAGAAAAGCCAGATCATGTTAGGATTTACCTCAGCTCAAAAATTCAATGGTTATGAAATTTTAGAGATGCTTTATACATGACTTGAGATGAACAATAATATATAAAATGCTAACACATTAGCAGGATTTGTAAACACATTACATAACACAAAAATCTGGTTTTAAATGAAAAAAATTGCTTATGAGTTTCCATTGAACTTAATTTGATTATTTTGCAAGGTTCTTTTTACATTGTTTGATTGGTTGGTTTTTTGAGGTGCTAGGGATCAAACCCAGGGCCTTATACATGCTAGGTAAGTATATAACCATGGAGCTATGTCACTCCTGAGCCTAGCTACACCTTTTTTTTTTTTTTTTAATTTAGGCTTTTAGCATAGAATCTGAGAGAATTTTCAAAGGGATTTTCTTTGGCAGTGTTTGAAATATCATACACTCCCTGTGAGCTCTAGTTACCCACAGTTCTGAAACATACAAATAGTGAATAATGGAAATTTTATTTTTATTTATTTATTTATTAAGTGATAAAGGATTTGATCTTATGGTAATCACCTCCACTTCTTCCAGAATATAGTTTATATTGCACACCACACCAGTAGAGCAAAACCTAAGCACAAGTTACATACATCATCAGTTGGGTACTCCAATGTCTTCTGATGGTCTGCCACCACACCTTGACCAATCACCTGGGACAGGTCTTCCTGAAACATGAAAGATGAGATCAATTAGTGACATAGTAGGGCTCAGTAGCATTTTCCAACTTTGGCAGTTAGTTACCATTTAACAGAAAAGAAAATTACCAAGACACGTCAGAATCTAATGCATAGGAAAAGGACAGCTTATTAACTGAAATGATACTTTATAAATTGGCCAGAATGTTAAAGTCTGCCTCCCACCACATCTTACCCTTTTATTATAGGCAAATTTATAGGGGAAAGTATCATCTGATTATTTAGTTTAAGGCATGAACTTTTGCAATTGGGCGGGGGATGGGGCAAGGCAGGAAACATGGAGAGACACTGATTTGGACAAGAGAAAGCATTAGTCTGCTCTGGTGCTTGGAAAATCTGAGAGAACACTGGCTGGGGTCTAGCACTCAGAAGGTGGGATGGGAAACTGATCTGGAAATGAAAAGAAATTCCTTGACTTAAGAGTTCTCTACACACCTGAGCAGATTACTTGACCTCTTTAAGCCTCAATTTCCTCATCTACAAAATTGGAAAAAAAAAAAAAACAGTAGTCAGACTATAGGGCTACTAAGAGGATTAAATGAAGCAATATATGAAAGCACTTGGCACAGCATCTGGCAAATATCAGCATTTGATGACGATGCTTGTTATGACAGTAAATGGAATTGAGCTATGTTCCTGAATGCAAGGTGAATTGGTCAGAACAAAACAATGACCTGGACAGGACACTTTCTCCTTTGGGGAACATTAGAACAAATATCTGACATTCCCTACCCTGACTTCCTTTTCTGGGCTTATTCACACACCCATTCCTCAATAGGCTCCTGCCAGATTTGTAACAACACATAGATAACAATTGGGTTATGCCCAGCTGCTCCTTATGAGATTAGGTAACAAGCCATCCTGCCTCACTGGTTCTCTATTGGTTTACAGCCTGAGAAATTTAACCCCAGCACACAATCCTGAGACTGAAACCTAGGTCCCCTCGATGGTTGTGACTACCTTAGCTGACTTATTTTATAGGGCTGGACTCTTCTCACTCATCTAAATTCTTTTTAATTTCCTTCTTATGGGGCAAAAATATTAGAATCCATGTCTCCCTCCCTTAAACTTTGTTCCTGAATAGATCATAAAACATAAAATGAATTTATGATCACACATAAGTTCATCACATCACATAATTCTTCCCTGAGCCCTTGGGAGGCAGCCCTTCATGATCATTTATCATTATTTATGCAATATTATTCTGTTTCCTTTTATGTACATCTCCCATGCACAATATGAACATCTTTGCTCCCTCAGGTAGATTTTGGAGCCAGACAGGAAAGAAAGGATTAACAGTGAATGTAACTCCTTGTCCTCTATTTTATAAAGGATCATAGTTAAGAACAGAAAAAAAAAAAACATAGAAAGGTTGACAAGGCTAACAGGTGCTTTTTTAGAGTAAAAACTCCAAATGGCCCTATAAATAGAAACCACTGATATTTTTCCTTCTCGTGTGAATCAAACAGAGGGAGCAAAAGTAAGAGTCTCCTACAAAAATGTAGAAGGAGTAAGTGAGGAACTGAACTTCTGAAAAGGTGTTAGAAATAACCAAGGTGCTCAGGTGCTGCAGGAAATCAAACCTAGGTCTGATTGTACCTGAAAGCGTGTGGGCAAGGCATTTACTCCTGCCAGAAGGGTGTGCTACAGGGACCTGGTAAGCAAATGGGCTACATCCCTAATGCAGCACTGCCCTTCACCCCAACTAGAGGAGCTTGGGGGTACCGTCAACATGATTAGCTCATTTTAAACCTGGGGTGGACAAAGGGCTATAATTAAAATGGCTAAAATTGAATACAACTAAGGCTAAATGTTACATTCTGAAAATGGACTATCTTTCTATTTATCACAATGTCTGGGCCAATCTCATTTCTCAGGCTGGCTACCCTCAGCCCTCTGAACCCAGGGAAGGGGTTGGTAGTACTGAGGATGATAATAACGACAGCTGGTTTCTACTGAGCACTGACTCTGTCCCTGCTTCTGAGCTAGGCTCATTACACATTTACTGATGTACACGATAATGTACTATTATAATTTCTTTTTAGAGTAGCAGCAACTGAGGCACAGAGAAGCTAATTATTTGCTAAGCCAGAAGTTAACCCAGACACAACTTGCTCCCAACCAAGAGCAAATGGCAAGGAGAAGGGAAAGCACTGCTGACCTCCAACAACACAGGAGGCTCTTAGTCAGCGATTCCATTCCAGGTTCAATGCTGGGTCAGAACAAGTCATGCCTGCCTGTTTTGAACTTGGGATGGGGGAAGAAAAATAAAAACCATCAGAGTGGGGCAGGGAGAGGGAGCATGGGAGGAATAGATGACCTCTAGATAGGGCAGAGGGGTGGGAGGGGGAAGGAGGAGGCATTGGGTTAGAAATGATGGTGGAATATGATGGACATTATTATCCAAAGTACATGTATGAAGACATGAATTGGTGTGAATATACTTTGTATACAACCAGAGATATGAAAACGTTGCTCTAGATGTGCAATATGATTTATAATGCATTCCTCTGTCATATATAAGTAAAAATAATAATAAAAAATAAAAAAAGAATAAGGAACCATAAAAAAGAAAAGAAAGAAAGAGAAAAACCATGGCCACTACAGTGACCTTGGGTCATTTTCTTTTGTGTTTAAATATCTATTTAGAATTTGCTAATCTCCTATATGTCAATCTCCCAACTATAGGAGATTACTGAGTCAGTACTCAATATTATGCACCAGTGGACTCCTAGTGTCCTAAAAGCTGAGTCTGGGGACAATCCAAGATGTTAACTTTGCACAGAGAGCCCCTAAATAAGAAGACTGAGGAAGCATATGGAAAGATCATGTTGTTTCATGAAACAGACTGATATGACACATTCTTTGGTATTATGTTATAACCCTCAGGACAGTACTGTAGCTCTTAGAAGATGATGCTTTGTGGGTCAGGGAAATTATTTTGATTAATAGAAGGCACGTCTGAGCTGGGCATGCCTACAATCCCAGCAACTCAGGAGGCTGAGGCAGGAGGATTGCAAGTTCAAGGCCCATCTGAGCAACATAGTGTGGTCCTGTCTCAAGATAAAAAATAAAAAGGGCTGAGGACATAGTTCAATGGTTCAATTCCTAGTATCATCAAAAAAAAAAAAAAAAGGAAGACACTTCTGAATTTCTGAGGGATAGACATAAAAGGCAACAGGGAATATATGTGATAGAGGTAATGACAGAAGTGTCCTGCAGCAATGCCTACAGCTGGTTGACTTCAGTCCCAAATCTGGGTAATCAAAACACCTCATCTAATTGGTCTAAGGGTAGACATCTGAACCAAACAAGAACATCCTACAGATTTTCCAAAGTGGAGCCAAGGGAAGAGTCAGCTCCTTTGCATTGGACAGGCTTCTGTTAGCCACAGTCACACCATGCTGAAGAAACATGTCTGCAGCAGAAAGGAATCGACAAAAAAGCAGAGAATCCCCCTTGCAGATCCCTGGTTCCAACTGTCCCTGAGGCTCAGTGGGACAATCCTGACCTTCCTGTATGGGGGCGTAAGGAGGGCAACCTGTAGCTTTTCAGCAAATTTCCCTTTTTGCAGGAAAAGAAAAGTGGGTGATTTTATGAAAATTGAAGGGATATCAGTAGACCAGAGGAATGGGACCAGGGAAAAGGGAAGGAAAGGAGGAAATACTAGGGAATGATATCAACCAAATTATATTATTATGTTGTGTGCACATATGAATATGTAACAACAAATCCAGTCATTATGTATAACTATAATGCACCAATAAAAAATGTGAAAAATTTCCCCTTTTGCTTAAATAAGGTCAAGTTGAAGTTCTGTCATTTGTAGCCAAGAGATTCCTGATTAAATTGGGGTGAAGACCATCTCTCCCAGAAGGGACTTGGGACAACAAACTCAGATGCATTCAAATGGCAATGAATGAGGTGAAATGAGTAAAAGCAGCACACTAGTGAGGGAGTGATCAGACCAAACAATTCATATTCAACAAGTTTTAAACACGCCCACTAGACAAACAACAAACACAAATGTCTGCTGTTGAGTTTTGGGCTTCCACTTTGTAGCCCTTGAATAGACTAGAAAAAGATAACCTTTGCCTGGATCAGTCTCAGCCTAATTCTGACTCATCCAACCACCTAGATTAGGTGAAATTGCCTTAGCACAACACCTTTCTTTGCCTTTCAAAAATACTTGTTAACAACAAGAATTACTTACTTACATATTTATTTACTTATTTATTTTGAGATGGGGTCTTGCTATGTTGCCCAGGCTAGCCTGGAATTCCTGGGATCAAGTAACCCTCCTGTCCCAGTCTCCTGGTACCTAGGACTACAGGTGTAGGCTGTTGTGTCCAGGTAAGAATTACTTATTTGGCAGCTGGGTGGGGTGGTAATCCCAGTGCCTTAGGAGGCTGAGGCAGGAGGATTTCAAGTTATAGACCAGCCTCATAAATTTAGCAAAATCCCATTTCAAAATAAAAAAAACAAAAAAGCAGGGACATAGCTCAGTGGTTTAAAGTCCCATCCTCAGTACCACATCCAACCCCGAAATATATATGTGTATGTGTATGTAAAACTTATTTAAAGTTGGATGCAAATCCTAGCTGCAACATTCAATAGTTGAATATCTCTGCCCCTCAGTTTCCTTATCTACACTATAGGGATAGGAGCAGATCAATCTCCTATAACATATGAATTAGAATGGCGCCCACTGCAGTGCACGGTACATGCCAAGAAAGTTGGCTACTTTATTCTCGGTAGTTCTGAAGGCAGCACCCGGGTATTGTCCCAGCTATGTATTGCCCACTCCACAGGCACTGTGGCTAGCTAGCGCCATGCCCAGGACATAACGGGCCCTCCATACAAACTCTCCAGAAAACAGAGTGCCATAAGATCGTGCCTGAGCAGTGCTGGCTTCCATGGGCCCTCAGCTAGGGGTGAGAAACGATGAGCTCTGCACTGAGTGTCACATC